TTTTCAGCACTGCTCACCGTGGCTCAGCCCTGCCGCTGGCTATCAAGTACATGTTTGACTTCCTGGATGAGCAGGCTGACCAGAGGCAGATCAGTGACCCCGATGTGCGGCACACCTGGAAGAGCAACTGGTACGTGGCCGTGAGGGAGGCGGGGAGGGTGGTGGAGCTCACTGGGTTCCTCCTGCTAGGGGAACCCACAGCAAAGCACTGGATGAGTGATTTGGGAGGTGGCCTCAGGGGCCAGTGTTGGAGGAAGCTGCCCTGGTTTCTTCCTGGCAGGGCGGCCATCAGCAGAACAGCGAATGCGAGGGCCAGGGCTGAAGGCTGGGCTGGACAGTGGGGGCCCAGGTGGAGACAGCCGTGATAGAAAAGTGGGCAACATCCTCTTCTCACTTCCTGGAGTCCCCCAGAAACGTAAAGGGAAGGCTGTTGAGCCTTGACAGTCTTTTCTTTTTTTCCCAAGATTCTTTTTTCTGTTCTCAGTGAAAGTTTACAGAGCAAGTTGGGTTTTTTGTTGTTTTTTTTTAACAATTTCTCTGCAAATGGTTCAGCGTGACCCTGGGTCTTCTGCTGTCGTCTCTGAGTCTTAAAGTTCCCTTCTTTCCTTTTGCTCCAGATGAGTGGAGACCACTATTTGATAGGCTTTTCATAGGCTGAGTTTTGGAAGCAGACTGCCAGACCTTTCTTCCTCATGCCATTTCTTGCCTGCTCTGGACAAACTGTGAGCTAGCCAGACAGTGGCCATTCAGGGGCTGGGGCTGGGAGAGGTCTGACTGATCCCTTCTCCTTCACCTGCAGCCTACCCCTGCGTTTCTGGGTGAATGTCATTAAGAACCCGCAGTTTGTGTTCGACATCCACAAGAGCAGCATCACAGACGCCTGCCTCTCAGTGGTGGCCCAGACCTTCATGGACTCCTGCTCCACGTCCGAGCACCGACTGGGCAAGGACTCGCCCTCCAACAAGCTGCTCTATGCCAAGGACATTCCCAGCTACAAGGGCTGGGTGGAGAGGTAGGCGGGGGAAGGCAGGACTAGGGCCCCAGAAGCTGGGCCGTGGGGGTGCCTCTCGGAGGCTGACTGGGCCGGCGAGGGGGTGGGATTTGGCCTTGGGGGAATTATGCTCAGGCAACCTGTCTGGACTCCACCAGGTACTACCGGGACATCGCCAAGATGGCGTCCATCAGTGACCAGGACATGGATGCCTACTTGGTGGAGCAGTCCCGCCTGCATGCTAGTGACTTCAACGTCCTGAGTGCGCTCAGCGAGCTCTACTTCTACGTCACCAAGTACCGCCAGGAGGTATGTGCTGCCCCCGCCCCTTAAAGTTCAGTGTTCTACCCCAAGGGTACGGTGTGAGGCAAACACAGAAGTCTTGGTGGGGAATGGGACCTATCTTTTGGGTTGCCCATGGTCCCACTCCATGGAGGGACCCAGGCAGGAAGCCAGTGGTTGGGGCACAAGGTTCCAGCTGGACAGAGTTAGGAGACAGGAGCAGCAGGAGGGTAAGGGGAGGGGAGGACAAGGCCACTTGTAGGATCCTGGGCTGGTGGTACGAGGGCACTGGGGACGTTGTTGGCACACAAAGCCCTGAGCCCAGAAGGTTTCACTCAGGGAGGCAGGGAGGTGGGATAGAGAGAGAAGGGTCCCAGGACCTCAGAGGGTCAGAGGGTGGCGAGAGGAGCGGCCGTGGGGAGGACAGGAATCCGGGAGTGTGGGCTGGGGTTCTGGGACACGGGGGAGGTCCCAGGTGTCATTCATGAGGTGGGAGCGGTCACTTGTCAGATGCTCCTGAGAGGTCTAGTACCATGGAGCCTCCCTCCCAGGTTTGGCAGCGAGATGGCAGTGACCTGGAGGAGATCGGTTTGGGTGGAGGTAGGGGTGCTAGGTGGGACTAGGGAAGTGAGGAATTGGGGACTCTCGTCTAGACCACCCCGGGAATGGTGGCACCCTGTCTGTGAGGAAGAGGAGGGGAAAGTGCTCTGTGAGTCATTGGAGGGGGCCCCAGGTCCCGGGTCCCAGGTCCGGGACAGGCTGGTGGGCTGTGTAGAAATAAGTTCTCCTGATGTTCCAGAACGAGAGCCCACCGAGGAGTGTGGGAGAGGGGAGCTAGCCAGGGGCGGGGGCTGTGCACAGGGGGAGCTGCCCCTTCGTCAGGCTTCATTCCAGGGGACCCTCCACGCCCCCTCCCAGATACTGAGCGCCCTGGACCGAGACGCCGCTTGTCGTAAGCACAAGTTGCGCCAGAAGCTGGAGCAGATCATCAGCCTCGTGTCCAACCACAGCTGAGGGTGGAGCAGTCGGGTGAGGAGGGGGCGTCTCTGTCCTCAGCTGTCCTCTCACAAAGGGGCTGGCTCCCGCCCGGTCCCCAAGCTGACTGACACCCGGAGCAGGTGCGTGGGGGAGGCACCGGGCTATGTCCCCAGCACACACCTGGGCCCCCTTCACTAGTGCCTTGCTTTGGGCCCTGGGGTGGGGGCAGAAGACAGGACCAAGCCCCCCTAACCCAACAGCAGCAGCAGCAATACCCCACCCTCCTGCCCTGGTGCCCAGATGTGGCGAGAGCCCCTGCCCTCCTTCCTATTTATACCCCAACCACCTATTTATTTAATTTAACTCCACCTCACTGTTGCCATCTGTGAACGTGTGTCCCTCCTGGGATGTTGCCGACCTCACCCACCTTCCTCTCCACCTGTCCTGGGTCCTTGTGAAATTGCAATGGAAGGGGGTCCAGGCACTAGCCGACTTGGAGTGGGGGTGCATCTGAAGCTGCCCTCCACAAGTAGTGGGAGGCAGATGCTCTGTTCTCAGGGCCCTGATCTCTCTGAGCATGGGAGAGCAATAACCAGGCCAGTGCTGCGGCCGAGCTAGGCCTGAGGGCACGGAATGCCCCTTCCTCCTGGCCCACTGCCAAATGTCCTCAGTGTTGTCTGCACTGGCCCTGAAACTTGGCTCTCCGCTGCCCTGTCCTGCGCCTGCCCCGAGGGGCCGAGGCGGCAGTGCCTTACTCCTCCGTGTCTTCGGCCTCTTCTGAGCAACCTGGCCTGTCTGTGTCCCAGACCCCGGTCGTCCCCTCTTGGGTTGCATGATGTTTTCTTTGTTCATGGAATGTTTTCCTTTTGCTAATTAAATGTTGGGAAAATGGAGTGCGTGTGGCTTTGTCCTTGGGGCAGGTGGGTGTCTAATGTGAACACAGACGGGCAACCCCGTTAAGACTCCACGAGAGCTGGACTCCTATAATGGATGAGAGAGTGACTTGTCCCAGATCGTGTCCAATCCCCCCTTTGATTTATATCCTGAATCGATTTCTCACCACCCACCGTGACTAGTCTCTCGCTTTCTGTCCAGCCCCCGCCTAGCCACTTCTCAATTGGGAGGCAGAGGGATTCTGTTAAGATAGAAGACCAATCAGGTGTCCACTCTGTTCAGAATCCTCCAGTACCTTCAACTGCACCCACACTCCTGGAATGCCGGTGACTCCTTACTGTCCCAGGGGTCTCTCCTGCCATGATGCACCCACCTACCTCTGAGCCCCAAACGGGTTCCAGCAGGTCACGGGCTGGGGGGAGGGGAAGCAGGGCATACCAGCAGTGTTCTGGGTCAAGAGAATAGCATTTGACAAGCTTGGTGAGGCAGACTGATGAAATTCAAGAGTGAGGATATTGGGGTTCCTCCTCTGTGCAAGCACTGTTCTAGGAGCTGTTGATAACTGCGGAGGTGTGGGGGTGGTAGGTCAGGAAAGCCTGGCTGGAGTGGGTGACAATTGAGAAGGAGCTGGAGGAAGGCTGGCAGTCGGGTGCACCCCAGGCAAATAGAGTTGCAGACAGAAGAAGGCAGTGCAAAGACCTCTGTGGCTGGATTGGAGTGAGCAAAGGGGAGAGAAAGGGGCGGGGCCACTTTGGGCTCTGGGAGCCTCTGTGAGGGATCTGGGAGCCCATTGGTGGGCTTGGAACAGAGGGGCGGTGGGACCTGAGACCAGCCTTGTCTTTGAAGCTGATTCAGGGCTTTGCAGGGAAGGGGGACGGGTCAGACTGGAGTCCTGTCCCCAGTGAACTGGCCTCACCATTTGGGGCTACATTTAGGATCCGATTGTTGTTGTTAAGTGCTGTGGAGTCGGTTCCGACCCATACAGACCCTGTCTCGGGTTTCTGATGAGCGAGCGGCTGGTGAGCTGCCTGCCGACCTTGCAGTCCAGCACATTAACCCACCGTGCCCCACCAGAATCAGATTAAGAGATTAAATAATGACTGGAATAGTGACTGAGTTCAGTAACACTGCCTTGAAATCTAAGGTAAATAAGCCCTCCTGAAAACAATTATAATCAGGAATCCCCTGAATCATTATTACCTCTAAGAGAACGAAATGACGACAACTTAGTTGTCCTGGAATGACATTATGAGACTTCTTTTTCTGCATCTATTCAATAGCGTGCTTCTGAAGAATTTATAGACAGAGGAAAAACTCAATGTTAAATGAAAAACAAAATTAGGGAAAAAACCTTGAAGTTAAAAAAATGATGGGTTCTATGGGAGGGGGCTTCAAAAAGTTCACGTGGACAAAGGGCACTGAAAAGCCCCTCATACTATTGTTAAGTATGTCATATTTAGACACAATGATTGGCGTGGCTGCTCCTTGAGTTGGTTGTGACGCCAAACGCCCCTGTACAGAGGTTTTCACGGAGGTGTGACGTGCTGACCACGCGTAAGCAGTCAGTCCACCCAAGCAGAACTCCGGGCCGGTGCTGTACCGTGGAGTCGGTTCCGACTCACAGCGGCCCTGCACAAGGTTCCCGGGAGCAGAAGGCCTCCTCGTTCTCCCCCGGAACCGCTGGAGTGCCCCCTGCAACCCCGGGCAAAGGAGGCCGGCCCGGGCAACAGAAACTCGGCTTTATTGTGTGCGTCCACGGACTAAGCTTTAGCGGCCCTCCTCCAGCACCATGGGCAGGCCCGAGGCCAGCCAAGGGGCAGTGGAGGCCAGGCGGAGTGGTCAGCCCGCGCTGGGCTTAGCGGAACACCGGGGGTCCAAAGCGCAGCATGGTCCGCACCACCAGGGAGAGCTGCTCCAGAAAGCTGATGATGGAGATCCGGAGCAGGCGAGGCTCTTCTGCAATCCAGCGACTACTCAGGGGGACAGAGAAAGGCGCGTCCCCGGCTGCCCCTCCGTGCACGGCTCGGCCCCGCGCCCCCCGCAGCCCCCAGGAACTTACACAATCAGCCTACTGCCGTCCACAGCCAGCTCCTTGGCCACCAGCCCCGGATGGGGTTCAGCATCCGGGGCCAGGGACCCGCGGGCGATGTTCGCCTCCAGGGGCGAACGGAATGGCACCGTCAGGGAGCTGAGGCTTCAGTTAAGGCGCCACCGACCGCACTCACGCCGCCCCTCCGCCTTCCGGCCCCCAAACACCGCGACCCGTTCCTGGGCCGTCCCGCCCACTCCCCGGTCCCGGCCCGGCCCGGCTCCCCTACTGCCGCCGCCTCGGAGCGGATACAACTCGTGGAGTCGGCCGCTGGAACTTGGAAGCAACGGTTCGGCGTCTCCTCCGGGCCCGCAGCCTTGTGGCATGTGCACTGCCTGAGCAACATCTTCCGCCGCCGCCTCAGCGGCTTCGGGAGCACCGCCAGAGTCCGGGTCCTGCATGTCCACTGGCACGCCTTCGGCCCCGCCCTCAGAACGCTGACCGAATCCCTCCGTTCGCTCAAACAACGCACCAGAACGGAAGTTCCCTCACGAAACCACGCCCCCCAAGTGCAGGGCGCCACTCTCTGGCGCATGCGCACACTGGCTCTTCGCGAGCCGGCCGGGGAGCAGTCGCTTCCCGCCTAGCTGCTCGCTGGAGCCGCCATAGACCTGATGGACTAGAGGAACTGAGGTTCCCTCCCCAGGCTCCGCCCCTTAGCTCAGGAGTCCAAATCCGGGCGCCTGCGCACACACGCTCCTCTTGAGGCCAAAGGCGTGGCGGTTTCGCGCCAAGCTAGCCTTGCTAGAGCTTCCAGAGACCCCCGCCCCCATGGGTGCGGAGAGACTAATTCTTAGTGCTGAGCTCTGCTCTCCAGAGCGCATGCGCAAACAAGCTCCTAGGGAGGCCTCTAGACGCATGTCTGGCCCTTTAGTGGAGCCCCAGGGAGCCCATGGGCCGGAGAGACTGACTCTCTCACGAAGTTCCGCCCCTGTGTGCAGGACGCGACTCAGGTTTCCCAGAACACTAATTGTCCTGTTCTGGTCCCAGAGGACCCTGTGGGCTCTGTGGCCTCCTCACGAAGATCCGCCCCTCAGCACAAGAGCCACCCAAGTGCCTTCCCAAGCAGGCCCGCCGGGAGCCTTCCGGAGTCCTGGCGGTGCAGGGGCTCTGCGTGGGCTCTGCGTGCGGGCGAAAGCTGAGAGTGTTTGCACTGTACAGGGCCCTGGAGTCGCTTCCGACTCAGAGCAACCCTGTATAGGGTTTCAGAGGAGCGAATGGTGACTTTGAACCGCTGACCTTGTGGTTCAAACAACCGACCTGGCGGCCCACAGCGCCGCACCAGCACTGGGAAACCCTACATAGCGTCACTATGAGTCGGAATTCAATGGATGGCCGTAGGTTTGAGGCTTTAGGGAACCTTTCTGGTGCTTGATCGCTTGCTGTCCAGCCACGCCTGCCTGGGAAAGATGGCGAGGAAAGCGTCAGACTTCTTCAAGATGTGACCCCGAGGTGCCCGCACCAAAATCTCACCTGCTGAGGCCGCTGGGTGCATGGCTGGCCCTGGTTTGGTTTAGGAGATTAAAGGGGGCCGAGACTGAGGCCTCTGCCCTTTCGCCCCTCAGTGCTTGTGTCAACAGACCTTGTGGTTTGCAGTCCAGTGCTTATCATACAGCAGCACCAGGATGCCACGAGAGTCCTGTAAAAATAAGTAAATAAATAAACAAATACAGATCTCTATGATATCAACTTGATGACAACTTGATTGACACATGCCAATATGGAATTAGATCCAGGGTGTATTATCTAAAAAAAAAAAAACAACCACCCAAAAACCCAGCATGCAGAGGGCACACAGTCACACATAAGTTACTGAGGAAGACGTAAAAGAGGCTGCCTGAAACGAATGAAAACGTTTATCTGTAGAGAGTTGAGCGGGGTGTGGGATTCCTTGGACCATATCTTTTTGTTGTTGTTTTTTTTTTTAGTTTTTACTTTGAATTATGCGATCGTTTACACGGGAGAACGTTATCTTTACATTCATCCTATCGTATTTCATTTAATTGCAATGATCACAATCCCCTGCATGCGTCATCAACCAATGAAAGGTACACCCCACACGCCTGTCCCCGGCCGCCAGCACACAGTCCCTCTCCCTGCACCTTCTGTTGTATTTATTTCCTGAATTTCCCAATACAATTCCCTGATTCTGCAGGCAAAGAGTAAATTATTCTAAAAGTCCAAAGGTAAATACCCCCTAAAATGAAGCATTATGGTCTCCGGTCAAGTTTAATAGAAACTACAAAAGATCCGTAGGCTCATGTTGCACTACCGACACACGGTCCACAGCAGTACACTGATCCACTACCGACACACAGCAGCTGGCCTGGCCAGGTCCACCAGGGCGAAAAGGAAGGTTGCCCACTCAGCTCCTGTAGGAAAGGTCTGTCCTATTGTACCACATGACAGCCAAGTCAGACGCTTTGTGTTAAAAGCATAAACAAATTACAAAAGAGGTTTGTTTGTTTTCTCAGGGCGGCTTGCTGCCTGGCATTAAAGTGGCCCCCCGCACTCACTTCTGAGCATCAGACTTCTGGCCAGCTGGGCACACTTCCCCATGTTCTTCTGTGAACTGGAAGGCCTGAACTAGTCTTAGGGTCTCATCCACAGAGCGGCTCATCCACAGGGAGGTCATTTACAGTGATCTGTGGAAGGATCCGTTTATCATCAGTGATGAAGAGTCCTCTAAATGAGACGGCTTCACCCGCCTTTAAGACCCCATCATAGTCCTGAGCAATTGTGCGCTTGGGCTCTGATACCAAAGGACTATTCATGGCTCCCAGTCCTCCTTGTTTTTTGGGTGTGTTGATCCAAGCCAGATGACAGAAGTGAGAATCCCCCCAAAGCACCAATCACTTGTCAGTTGAGTTTCTTAAATTCTTCTGCCCTGTCACTGAAAGCAATGATTTCAGTGGGGCACACAAAAGCGCAATCAAGAGGACAAAGAAGGAACACAGTATGTCTTCCTTTGTAGTCAGGCAAGCTGTTATCTTTGAATGGACCATCCGGCATAGCAATTGGAGCTTTGCAGTTGGGAGCAGGGTGCCCAATTTTGGCAGTTCCTGAAGACATCTTCAGGTATCTATCAGCAGTTGCAATACCAAAACCACTAGTCGGGTCACTAGTCAGGAAGAGAACCCTGGACCCTATCTTTTTGTGTAGTTTTGGCTTTTGAACAATGTAAGTATTTCACATATTAAAAAATAAATTTCAAAGGAGGAAAAAATAAAACACCAAATTTTAAGAAAAGCCCAAACTAAGGATCCTAACAGCATATCTGATTGACACCAAAACCACACAGAAAAAAGAATGAATTCCAGTGCCTTTGAAACCGTTAACAGCTAGCTCCCTTTGTGTGCTATATTCTAAGAACAAAAGTCACTGAGTTTTCTTTTAGAATGCTGGTTGTTGGTAATGGTGGCGGTGACGTTCTTTAGGGTAGAAGGAATCCTGGCTAAGCACTCAGCTTATTTGCAAGGTTAGAGGTTTGAACCCTCCAGACACTCAGCAGGAGAAAGATGTGGCAGTGTCTTCCCTAAAGATTGTTGTTGTGAAGTGCTGTTGAGTCCCTTCTGACTCATAGTGACCCTGTGTAGGGTTTCCGAAGAGCAGCTGGTGGGTTTGAACTTCCGACGTTGTGATTCGCAGTCCAGTGCTGACACGACAGCGCCACAACAGCACTCCTCCGTAAAGATTGTTGTTGTTGTTAAGTGCCGTCGAGTCGATTCCGACCCATAGTGACCCTGTTTAGGGGTTCCAAGGAGCAGCTGGTGAGCTTGAACCACTGACGTTGCAGTTCAAACGACTTTGCAGTCTGGTGCATTAACCCACAGAGCCACACCAGGACTCCCTAGGCCAGACTACAGACTCGTAAACCCTGTGGGGTAGTTTGACTCAGTTCTGTAGCGTTGCTGTGAATCGGAACTGACTTGATGGCAGCAGGTTTCAGGATAGAATCTATTTGACAGAGAAAATGAGTAAATGTATTGGTGTTCTCAGGAAGAGACAACATCGTTTTGAATCGTCTGAAATCTGCCTGTGATGTTGGGCTGGGTGGGAGGTTTCAGTCTGAGCTCGTGATTTCTTAAAAATACCCAGTCCCTCGTCCATTGAAAAGGAGTCCTGGTGTGACGCTAGAAGATAAGCACTCCACCACAAGGTTGATTTGAACCACATGGTCTGTGGTTCAAATTTCCCAGCTGCTCCTCAGATATCCTGTACAGGGTCGCTATGAGTCAGGACCGACTCAATGGCAGTTCACAACACTCCAGTAGCAGTCGGCACACCCTCATCCATTCTCCAATCCAAGGAACCGGATCTCCTCAGAGAAGTGGTGGATTCGAGGGTAGGGGTAGGCCAAGGACCAGATGAACCGGGAGCATTTTGTAGTGCCCCACCACACACAGAGCCACACCAGGAGCCAAAGCCAAAACAGTGTGAGCATCCAAAGGGGATAATGGCCAGGAGACGACATCTGGGAGGATGGAGTTGTGATCTGCATGGGCTAGATCCATGGTGTCTAAGAAAGAACACAAGTGGAGGGCTTTAAGAAACAGAAATGTATTCGCTGCAGGGGAAGGATTGCTCTCTGTCTTGGCTCTGTCTCCGTTTAGCATCGGTAGGCCCAGCATTCCTAGGAGCTCTCCATGTGTCTTGAAGACCTCCTGCCCCTTGGTCTAGGAGCTTCCCTGTGCAGCCATCCCAGGTCCAAAGGACACACTATGCTCCTGCCAGTGAGTCGGTTCCCACTCACAGCGACCCTGTATAGGGTTTGCAATGAGCAGCTGGTGGGTTTGAACTGCCAAACTTGCGGTTAGCAGTCTAGTGTTTATCCCACAGTGCCACACCAGGTAGTTGTTGTTGTTGTTGGTATTAAGTGCCATAGAGCCGGTACCGACTCATAGCAACCCTATGCACAACAGAACGAAACTGCCCAGTCCTGCGTCAACCTCACAATCACCACTACGCCAAGCCCATTGCTGCTGCCACGGTGCCACGTCGTGGGTCTTCCTCTTTTTATCAGACTCTCCACTTTAGCAAACACGATATCCTTCTCCAGGGACTGACTGGTCTCTACTAACTGTATGTCCAAAGTATAGGAGACAAAGTCTGGCCATCCGGACTTCCAAGGAGCATTCTGGCTGTACTTCTTCCAACTCAGATCTATTGGTTCTATGGGCAGTCCATGGCACTTTCAATATTCTCCTCCAACACCAGAACTCAAAAGCATCAATTCTTCTATGGTCTTCTTTATTCACTGTCCAGCTTTTGCATGCATATGAGGTTATTGAAAATACCATGGCTTGGGTCAAGTGCACCTTAGTCCTCAAGCTGACATCTTTGCTCTTGAACACTTTAAAGGGTCTTGTGCAGCAGATTTGACCAACGCAATAGGATGTTT